TTGAAGCTGATCAAAAGTTGATCTGAGCAGGTGAAATGGATCTGTAGGCGTATTACAAGATCTTCATCGTGGCGGTGCAAGCTTCAAACGAGTGGGCGAACGACTGGATGTCAAAACTCCCATGATCATACCCGGCTACGGCATTCGTTGGGGTTGTGAATATCAAGCGCTTGAAAAAGCTTATAATGCCCGATTGGTAGGTCATATACTCTTTTTCATATACTTATATTATGATTGAATTGATCTTGTCTATTTTCTTGCACCACTAGGTTATCGATCATATGCTCAAAGAGGACTTAGAGCTCGTATTATCTAAAAACCGACGTCGCCGTGAAAACGGAAAACCTCACGGTTATTTTCACGAAAAACAGATGGCACCGTTTGAATGGGCCGCACTACGATCTCTTCTTGATGTTCTTGAGGTATGTACATCTGAAAACTGTGTATCGATGATTTCCAGCTGATAAGAATAAGCCCAACTCCGACTACTAGCCGTTTTTGCACATCACCAGGCAAATGGAAGGTGATGCGCCAACTGGAGCTTTAGTGTTGTCTGAGTTTGTCGAACTTAAGACACAGCTCACTGAAAAATTGGCATCTTGCCGCGAAGGCGAAGGGATCCATGTTATGCTCACAGCGATGTTGAAGAAGACATCGACATACCTTTCGAACGCTTTAAAATGCGAGACACTCGTCATGGCCGCCCTACTCAATCCGATGCTTGGAATTGAATTTTTTCGATCACAATTCGACGATCCTTCAGTGGCTATTAATGCGGAAGTTACACTCTCACAACTTTACGATGAACGCAAAGAATTGGTGAAGGAAGTATCCATCATCAATCCTATAGTGACTTCCCAAGCTCCCTCTACTCAGACTCAAAATCGAACTCGTGTCTATCGAACTTCAAAAAAAGATCCGATTACAGACGTTAATGAGCTAGAGGCTTATTTCAAGGATGAGGATTATATACCTGAGGATCAAGCTCATGATCCTCATAGCATTCTTACTTGGTGGAAAGTAAGTAACTCTCTCAACTAATTAATCTGTCTTTCTCCTCCAATGTACTTATTTAGATACTTCGGCTAGAACAAGGCAGCGAGATATCCTGTTCTAGCCTCACTCGCTCGCGACTATCTCGCTTGCTGCGGATCCTCGGCACCTGCAGAACGTACCTTTTCGGCTGCAGCAGATGTCTGTGCAAGCGATCGAGGATCGCTTTCAGCGTGGAATATTGAACGGCTTGTAGGTAGTCGAATGTGGCTACGCGGTGGGGTCAAATTGAGTGGACAAGAATGGGTTGAACTTCAAGCCCTTGCTGAAATGGCTTACGGCAAAGTTGATTGACAATCTTTCAGTTATGTTAGTTGTTAGCGTGTTTTTGTAACGCACTACGACTGCGTTTTTGCAATTCAAAAAATCATGTTAGCTTGTTCAAGGCACGCTAATGCAGAAGCGTTAGCTTACGGTCCCCAAAATAACGTTACTGCGTTATTATATTAACTTGTTCATCTTCGCTATCCGGATGGGTCCTGGTAGCGTTGAGTAGCGTAGTGATCCAGCGTTGCAAACAGCCTGAATTAAACTCTCAACTACATTAAGGGCGCGTTCACTTAAGGAATTTCTGACCAGAAATCACATTCTGTAATTTTTTTAATGCAAAAATGAAACATGCACCACCAAATGGACACTTTAAATTTTGCAGAATGTGATTTCTCACCAGAAATTGCTTAAGTGAACGCGCCCTAAAACTTCTCGGACCTTTTCTCTACAGAATCACTTGAGGACATAAGGAACCAGCTTCTCATCAGGGTATATCAATATGCCATCTGGTGGCCGCACAGCTCATATTGAACTTTGGCGCAAGATTGCCTCAAAACATCACAATGAGACTCAGCCAGTAAACCAACATCTTGACTTCATTTGTAAGCGCTTTGAAGAACTTGACATGCAAGGTTTTATCTGGTCCAAGGAATCAATTCTTGGGATCTTTCTTCAACTTGGTCTACCCAAAAGTACAAATGGTCTCTTCTCATTGGTCAACAAGACTCTTGAATCTTGAGCACTTCAGGGATTTGGAAGTTCATCCAATGAAGTAGAAGAAGTTATTCAAACCAAGGAATTAAGACATAAATCTCGTCCTCTGGGCCTCATGGCTCTACCTATCAAGGTTTTTGACAAGATGCTGGAAAAACTTGATTGCATAGCTAGGCTTGAGGCTAGGAGTATTGACTCTAAAAAGCGCAAATGTAGGGTGAAGGTCTTCCTGCCAGGTGACAATGGAGCATACCTCACCTACTTGAACCCTGACTCGTCAATCTTGATTAGCATTCAAACCTTTTCCCTTACTTCTTGTGAGATATATTGACTATGTTGACCATGGATATGGAGAGTAAGGCATTTTCAACTTAACTGTTTCATCAAGGAATGCTTGCTAATCATCATCAACCGTCCATCCGAACTTTCAGATATTACAATTTCCTACTTCTCTTCCCAGATCAGTAATGTTCTTTGCTCCCATATTGATGATCTGGATTATTCTAGTTGCCACTGATCAACCTAATAGGTCAGCTTTGTAAAGCCATGATCTAGGTCAGATGATTACCAGGAGTCTGATCAGGAGAAATTTTACTTCTTTCCCTACTCCTCTGAAACGGTTTTGGAAATGTTGTCATTTGATCCAGTCTATCAGTGTACCATTAATTTCTTGATTCCCCTTCCACAGGAATAAGTAAAGCTCATCACCTTTTTCCTGTTCAAGATCTTATCATAATACAGTTGTAAAAGTCAAGGATGCTTAACAATAGGACCCCAGAATTCACTGGGATAACCTTCAAGTTCAACACAGGATCATATATACTGGCTCAAAGCCTCCTACTTCAACTGTTTCCATTGCGAGGACTTGCAAGACAGGTTGAGATTCATTTCTGGTCTTCCATGAATCATCCTTGGCAGAGTTCTTGGTTCAATATACTTGTTATGAACTGTATTCTTATACATAGACTATATGATTGTACTGAGATCTCTGCATACTTGGACTTCTGTGAAGCAGACTTTTTACTGCTCTTCACATTGCAATCTAATACCAAAAGACACCCTCCACATCTCTCTTGCATCTCTCTCAATCATCAAGGGCCTTAACAATACTTTTACTCATGTATATTTTATAATCACCAATAACTCCATGTTTCCCAGCCTGATCCGGCGTATTGTCTCTTTGGCTAAGGTGAAAAACTCGAATCCCACTTTGCCAAGGCAACCAGACCTGGCAAGGCTCACAGATTTGTGCCATCCCATATCCCTCGGCCTCATACATCCTTTTCAATGTGCACATTTCCGGTTTCACAACACATGACTTAAAAATATAAAGCCAAATTATACTTGTTGGATGAATGATACACCGCTCAGGTTTGATGTTGGACTGTGATAGTTAGATAGCTTAAATGTGCTTATCTTGATCCAGTAATATTATGCACAAGTTCAACTTTGAGACTTGTCTTTCCAAAAAAAAAATGAGGTCTGCCTCAGACATCAAGGTCTGGTGCTGATGCTCTAATGGAAAAATGATGTTGCATTTGCCTGTGGAAGACCTATTGACAGAAATTTGAGAAAGTGATTGGTGAAAGACATATCAAGAGACCAGTTGGAGGTAATTTGGATTGGACATTTCTTTTAGGTGTAACTCAAGCTGTGTCAAGGATGATCACACTGCAAAACATAGTGTGGGGAACCTGAGGTGAAATTTAATAACAGTATTTGTGCCTTTTGTTGTCAGTTAGCAAGGTCTTAGGCTTGAATCCAGTTGTGACTATTCCTTAGGAATTGTGTGTGTAATCAGGTTATGGCCCTCAGGTTACACACTTCAGCATTTTGTTAAGGCCACCACAAAGTTCAGATATAAGGTTCAATATAAGAAATGAGCTATGCCACAAGGTACCAAGCTTAACCTAGGAACACATAGTAGAACGCTTCATGTAACTTTTTTTCCATAAGACCTCATGATACATGTCTGTCTTGTATCTCACAATTGACCATCATCTTGCTCATCGGGTTCACTAATCCTGGTGTTGTTGTTGTTGCTGTTGTACTCATCGTTGTCTTGACTGCTATTGACGCTGAGAGCGGGTGATTTGAAAATTGAAGTATGATCTCGAGCGTAAAGATCCAGCAGTGTCTTTCTTCTATCTTCAGCTTCAAAGTCATCTTTGTCAAGATCAACAGGAGACAAGTAAATTTCCTGATCACCGGGATCACTCTCAGGATCTGATTCAGACTGGAACATGACATTTCCATTTGAGATGATTTCGCTTCCATCGTTTGTGTCTGATTGTGTTTTTGATTGCTGTGGCGAATGAGTCACTTTTCAAAGTTTTGAATGTGATTTTGTGATGCACAATGTTTCCTAAGTAAATTGGGTTTCCATGGATGGCTGTCACAAGCAGCAAAGAAAAAACAAGCGCTGTCTGGCCGTTCAGGCGTCTCAATAAAGCCTTGCAAATAAGAAAGGTGTGGTGTCAGATGCGCAATATCGGATAAACTTGTAGGAAATTGGTGTTACATTTCTCTAGCGCATTGGTTTTAGCCATGGTTCAATAATCGACAAACAAACAACGAGTGAACAATAAGAGTGTCAACTTGAATAAATGAAAAAGAACAATGATTTGAAGATGGTGTTCTTAAAGAAATGAATAATGAGAGAGATGAGAGATGAAGTGTCAAGGTGATGAGGAACTTCAGGACACAACAAAGATGGCGACGATGTTTCAGAAACATCTTAGAAGGGAATCGCTTCCTTTGGCCCTCTGCTTTTGATGAGCTTTGAATTTGGATGACAACCAACAAGATAAGCATGTTCAAAAGTGATGGATTGCGCTGCTCTTCAGACTTTGTCAACTGGCTTATCAATGGCAACCAGCGGGAACAAGTGTTGTTGTTCATTTTGTGAAGACTTTGGGGTACTCAGCCATAAGATAGCCAGTTTTCATCCGCTGGCCCAGACACCAAGCGGGAAGCCAAAGAAAAAAATTGAGATCAAGCCAGTCAATGAAATTCTGATCTTACAACCGCTGGTCAAAGTGATAGACCAGCGGAGTTTTTTGTACCGGCTTCTAGACCAGGGCCAAGCCGCTGTCTGGCCAGCTCTCAGCCAGGATTCAACGGGCTTATAATCCCACCACCTGGCCGCGGTTGCTCAACAAAAGGTGACCTCGAGGTGTAGGCACCTTACTATGAGCTCCCCTCAACATTTCATTCTTCATGACCTATTTGTGATGACCATTTTTTCTGATTTAGTTTGATCAAACTAAATGTATGTATCAGTTGAGATCTGTGTGCTAATTGACCATGGCAGAGTTCCCTTGGTGTCTTTCAAGGATTCCTTGTGCCATTGCCATCCTATATCTTGGCAAATAAAATCAACTGCTTCTTGTGAGATTATGGAGAAATACAAGGTCAAGATTCTGAATCATTCAAGTCCTTTCTAAGGCACCTCTTTGAAAGGAGTAACAAAAGCATGAAATTGAGTTATTTCCAAACATAACCTGGATAGCAGGACATTGTGTCTGCATGTATGAAACAAAAGTCCTAAGCTCAAGTCCTAGTCTGCTCACACCGCGGGAATCATTAAGTGTGAAACCAGATTGAGCAAAGTCGCAGTGTCCAGGTCCGCGACTTCCTTCAATCACGGATCTCGTTTGCCACAGGTTTTCCATAGGTTTGCAAGCTCGTCTCAAGCTTCCCTCTACATAGTCATCCACTCAGGCTGTAGTATGGACTAATGGAGGTACCATATGTCTAGACTCTTGTAACATATACATAATAAAGCTCATGACTCATACATGATCTTGAGTGGTCTGAGGATATTGAAAGGAAAAACATGCATAACATGTACTGCAGCTCAGGCGGACAACTCGAGGGCAGCTCAATGCAAGCTAGCAAACCTATGGTGAACAAGATCCGCAATTGAAGAAAGTTGCAGACCCAGACAGCGCGACTCAGAGAATTTTACTATCAGTTTCTTTTCAATTTATGTTTTGAATTTTGGTCTTCCTACTAAGTTCAGTAAGATTCAATGACTTTATTATTGTACAGGTGATGGTGAACAAAATTATGGGCAAGAAGAAAAATATGAACAAATCAGACCCCATCTGGAGTGTGAAGAAAAAGGATGAGAACTGTCTATTAATATCCACAATGGTCAAGATAGATCATAACAGATTGAAAGAGAGATATTTTTAATAATATCAGTCTCCTCAGTGTCCCACATGATTTGAGGATGTCAGGTTTGAGTAAGTAAGAGATATACACTGTGGATTTGTACAAAAATTATACATTGTTGTGAGTATTTTGGTCAACATATCTTGATAGATTTGGTTTGAATAACCCCTTGTATATATAACTATAAAATCAAGACAAAGATACTCAACTCTAGATTCTCCTACAATGGTAGATTTATCCTCAAGCACATTGTAATGGGAACTTTTTCCGGTCATCTGCCCTTGATTTTCCTCCTTTGGCGGTGCAGGGGTGCTTTTTAGCATTTTTGTGATGTAAAACCGTGCCTTTGGCACAGACTGGACGATTCTTGACACATTTGAATTCAGAGGCACGGGGTCCTTGTCCACCCATTTTTAAACACCAAGCTGTTATATCGCCTTTAGTTATCTGCACCCCGCCATTGGCGCAAGTGACTTTATGTGACACTTGACGTGTCGTGTCTGGTTTAGGATTTGTTGGATTTGCTGGGTTTCCTGAGACACCGAAGGTGACGCACATGATCATCATCAACACATATACTGTGCTTGACTTCATCCTGAAAAGACGATGCTCGTATATATTGTTCAATGAAACGTCTGAAAAAGTTTCCAAGAAAAACTCAATTCATGTTCTTTGACAACGATCACAGAGGGGCTTGGGGGAAGATGGTAAGATGATAGATGTTCGAAATCACGGAAGAAACTCACATTTACACAGCTATGAGTACAATGGCATAGCAAGGAATCGTCAGTTTATATAAGAAGCTACCTGCGTCTATATATCAGCCAAAACAACTCACATCGTACTCTACCCAAGAGAGTTTTCAATTGGACTTAAGGATCGCAGATGTCTCCTTTGATGATGGAGCAAGTGATATCTTCTTACTGGCAGCGTAGCACAAGTGTTAATAGTGTAGCAAAGATACGAATGCAGATGCAGAGTCGATATACAGAAGCCGATTTGAGTTAGAGGTGTAGCGAGAGAATTCGTGTAATCTGAAAGATGAAAAAATATAGGAACACTATGAAACAGTTAATGCGAGGGAACTTCACGGTTGATTGAGTCAAGCTTAAGAAGGGAATAGCACTGATCAAGGTGCGCCGAAAATGGAGTATGCAGCAAAGCAGGATGCGAGGGTTGCCAACGCTTCTTCGGTCGGAGCGCAACTGTTGATCACGCGCCATCGTTCCGGTCGCTGAGACCCAGTTTTTTGATTCCCCGAGTATTTATAAACTCCCTAAGAACTGGTCTCGAGCGTGTGCATAGGAGGAAGGAGACTGCCTCAAACCCCGTACCAATTCACCTGAGCTTCGCGGGAACCTCGGGCAACAATTTCGAGTTCGACCGTAACCAGGACATTTCCCCTTTCGGTCTTGAAAAGCTTGCGACTTTGACTACAGCAGAGCTGAGTTGATGCCTCGGCGAGAGGTGGTTCTTTGACTTTGAGGAGGGAAAGCCTGTTGCCGAGAGTCTTTTGTTCCTCAGTTTGACCGGGATCTTCAAGACAAGTCTCATCAGCACACTCTTGGCGCTCGGTCAGACGTTAACGTGTTGATTTGTCAGCCCCGCGATCCTCGTCCCGATTTCCTCGATAAACCCGCAATCTGATGACAACGGGGCATTCAGTTTGTGGAGCAGACCAACAACGATTTGAAGGGTTGTACTCAGCAATCCTCACTGCCTTATCCGGATGCTAGGATCAGTTTGTACATGCATACCATATTACAATCCTTGGATTGTAGGGGCGATCCAATTACCGCTAAGCATATCTTCTTTGCGCTTACTTCTACATCCTCGACGCAGCCCCAGTCTGCCCCAGTCCAATGGAAAAGTCCATACCAAGAGTGGCTATCAATATTAATCCTTGGAAATGGAGTCCTGGCTCCTTTGAGATTTGTTGACATTGCCCAGTAGAACCCTTTACACTAAAGCTGTTGTTCTGACAAGGGGAGTATAGCCAAATACTCCTCATGACTGACAAGAATCATCACATAGGCTTTGTGTGAAGGCTGTGTTTGACTTGATCTTTTCCATCTTCAAAACTTCCAAAATGGAATTTTTTTCAATCTGGGCAATACCATCCTAACATGATTCTTATCTGGGTGTCTACTTTGTAGAAAATCAAAAAAACTGATTTTAAAGATCAGAATACGATCAAACCGCTCATTGTTGATATTACATGTAAAGGTATATAGACTGATTAACTACAAATTTCGAGTGGAAAAAGAAGTAAAGTAAGAGATCCGAGAAGATCAAATTATACACATTAATGGAAGATCAGGAAAGTATAACACAAAACATTTTATTCCAACCAATTAAAAGCCCCACATTGTGTGCAACCTATAAATCCAGAAAGAAAACAAAAGTATCAATTAGTAAGAACCAGATGATGATTAAATCATTTCACCCCAAAGTTTTGTTGACTCACTTGGCATTATGCTTTCATGTGTCATACCATCAGGGATTGGACAAATGAATAAGTCTTTTATAGCTGCTCTTTCCCAAACTCCTCGAGCTATTTTACGAAACCCTCGAACAACTTTGAATGGTTTTGATTTTCTTGATCAGTCTCTTACTGCAATATCTGTCTGACTAAAGATACATTTGGATCAAAGTTAAGACCTACCAAGAGCTGTCTGATCGGGGTTGTATTGTATGGTGGTAGGAGTGATGATGCCTTGAACAAATTCTCTGCCATAGTATGCGTAGCATCCTGTGAGCTGAAATGAATCCCAGAAATCTTTATTGTGACACGCAGTGGCATCAAATTATAGAGATCAGAACATGAAGTCAATAAACACACTACTTGGTGAAGATAGATCCAGAATTGTGTTCACCATAAGCTTGCGAAGGTGAAGGTGGGAGAGGTCCCACAAAACAACTGGCCTGGTTACAGATATACTTGTTTAGTGAAGCATCCTTACATGCTATTTTTTGTTTAATATTGAGGATTGGTAAATCAGTTCTATAACACCTTCTATTTTATTTTCAATCAAGGAGTAATTCTATGACAAACCAATCGTATACTCAGGTATATCCCAGTAACCACCAAATTGTTTTGCACAGTGAACTCCAATGAGTTGAGGATCCGGAGTTTGAGGACTGGGTACAGCAGAAACTTTGAGATCTTGAAAGATGGTGAAGCTCAAGATTAGAGAAAACCTAAGAAAAATCCATTTATGCATTGTGACCAATTTGATGAAATTCTAGTTCAACGAAGAAAACAGAATCTAAAGGTGAAATCAAAGTACTCTTCTGTGTAAATGGTTTGATCGGGAATATTGGGATCTATAATCACAGTAATGTAACTTTTGTTTTGATATATGAACAAAGAAAAGTTGGACAAAAATCGTTGATTGGAAAAACTTAACCGTTTGATAGAGTTGGTAGAAGATTATAGACGAAGAAATTTGGTATGGACAATCAATTGGAAATACGGGAAGTACCAATCAAAAAAGTGGTAGCTCGCATGTCTACTCTGACTATTATATAAGTAGAAGATGAAACATCTGAAGCCACAACCCATATGCTCGGCATGCCTAAGGCTATATTTACCAACTCTCGACTCCGGGCGGTGGGCAAGTTTGATCCAGGTTGGCACTTGGAAATTTTGGCTCTGTCCTTCGGGGTCTTGGATATTTGATGAAGCTTCGGATGGAAGGGCAACCAAGTCTTGCAAAAGTCGAATTTTAGGAATGCTACATACCTCCCAATACAAGTTGATGGTCATTCGACAAAACACCCGCCTGTCAGGTCGAAGTGGGTCGCTTTAGAGATGGATTTGATTTATTTCGATTTGTGGCTCATGTAGAGCCTGTACCAAAGACGACTCGAATTTTCTGTTCACGGTGCAACCATGCCACTCTGACTCGACTCACACCTTCATGAGGGGCCGCAACTTGTGATTATGCTAAGATAATTTTTTAGAGTGCTGCAAGGTTCTTCACAGGTGTCTTCCAGTTCCTAATGGATTTCTCCCAATTTTGATTGTAGACATTTTCATTGAGCACATCTTCCGCTTCGGCCACGGGTTGAAGGTGGACATTAATATGTATCATTAAGCGTGATCACCTTCGAACTACACGACCATCCCAGAAGTAAACCATACTCTAGTATATCCCATACATAAGGATTTTCATATTTTCTTGATGATCAAAATGAAAACAAATTCTATAACCCCCACCTGGAAATGAAAACTGACCCGATGATTACAAGTCAAAAGTCTAAAGAAAACCCCATAAATCAAGAGCACGTTCAGCTCATCAAATTCTGGTGAGAATTTGCATTCTGCAAAATTTAAAGTCTTGGTTTGGTGTAGTATGGTTTATCTTTGCATTTTATAATTTACACACCTGTGGCACTTCTTTTGAATGACATAACAGTGGACGGTACAGTGTGCGGTACCGTCGACTGTCAAGCCGGATCTCTGCGCTAGATCACTTCAGATGGGCTAGACCAGCATTTCATCAACTTTACAAAGTCATTACTCATGATCCTGAAGACTTCAAAACATCAAACATGGTATAAAACTCCTTTATACCACACAAAACACCATCCAAGATCAAAAAAAAAATACATATGTATTTTCCAAAAAATTTTTGAAATACAAGTTCAACTTCACACAACTTCACACATTCACAATTACAAACTCACACAGTACACTAAAATCACAAACAGTATGACCTCCTCACAGACTTCACAAAATTCACAAACTTCACAAATCACTTCACCCATCACCCATAACTCACAACTCACAACTCACAACTCACAACTCACAACTCACAACTCACAACTCACATATACTACCAGTAATAGATACTACAGATACAACATACACTTCACAATCACTTAACCTACCACTCACAACTCACAACTCACAACTCACAACTCACAACTCACAAATCACAGCTCACAACTCACAACTCACAACTCACAACTCACAGCTCACAGCTCACAACTCACAACTCACAACTCACAAATCACATATACTACTAGTAATACATATAAACTCACATATCACAGTTCGGTCACAACTCACAACTCACTCCAGAGAAGTCACAACTCACAACTCACAAGCTCAACTCATCAACAAACGACCACAAAACCCTTACTTCCCAAAATCACTAACATCATTCATCCAATTAGCATGGAGTGGATTGATTAATCAAATTCAAATAACTACAAATAACTAAACACATTAAAGCTGATATCACCTGAAGAATCAAACTAATCGCATTCTATCCAATGGTGCCTCAATTTGATCGACTTCATCAAAATCTGCCTGTATCACCATTGCTTCTACAATTTCTTCCCAGCGCACCTTATTCCTTTCCACAAGATCCCCCCATGCCATCTGAAGCTCGGCCTCCTCTATTATAGACAAAGCTGAGTATTTCATTGACTTCAAACGCAAACTTTCCAGCCGACAATTCCATTTCATCCATAAGCGAGTGTACCTTCGATTAACATTTGAGAGCAGGGATTTCAGGACTTCTTTGCACTCTTCTAGATTTGCACCAGGATTGATCTTTTTCAAACTTATGAGATCTGTCATCCATTTCTTTTCTTCTGTCCCAAGTAAATCATCTGCTTGTTTCCAATAATCAGTATTTCATCAATCACAAACAACATTGCATTTGAAAACATTGACTTACCCTTGGTAAAAACAGTTGTATGTAGACGTGTTACCTTGTCATCCATGTTGACCGCCCACTTAATCGATTGCCGGCACTCCCGAGCAATCCTACGAAGCTCATCTTCCGAGTGAGTCATCTCAAGATAGGCTGTGATCCCTTCTTGAGTCTTTGCATCGGTCGCCCAAGCTTCATCAGGGTGAGTTAGCCGGCCAAAATCCCAGAAGCTATCGGTGATTGGCAATCTCTTGACTTCTTCGAATGTGTGGCTTTCAATAGCATCATCAGGGAAAGCTCGATTATAGGCTGTGACCTGTCGATCAAAAGTCCGGAGCTTCTTTTGAAGCTCTGACCTCTTACTTTGCTCAAGTCTTTTGTGTCTCTGTAGCTCACGAGTACCTAGGTAAACGGTTGATCCGGTTGTTAACCTCAAGCAAGCTCCACAGATCACAGAAATCACAAATTGCAGCGCACCATGCCTCTCATTAGCCTGCTTCTCCGCTTCCACTAACCCAACCTTTGCCTCATATAACTTACCTTTAGTGACCCGCAAACGTATCAGCATCTTCCCCTTCGCAGCTGATGTAGACATAGGATGATTATTGTCTCAATGTATTTGCCATGATCCATAGTTTAAATATGGCATATCCCAACTCACTTGAAGCACCAGGTACATTTCGGAACTGTTCACCACCAAGCTCATCAGCGAGTAGACCGATCTCCTCTTCTAACTGGACCATTGTATCTGGAAGCTGTACAATTTCCTCGTCCTCAGCTTCAGTTCGATTTCGCCTCCTGATTCGTCTCAGTGACCGCAACTGCAGTCTAAACAAGGCGCCCATCTTTCAATCAGTACATTCAGTTGAATAAAAGAAGCAAATTATATAACTCACTGGGCTTCTTGAAGTGATTCCTCAATGGAAATCAGGTGAGCAAGTTTGTTCGTCAGATCTCCAATTCCTTCGTTTACTATGACTTCTAGCTGACATTTTCTTTGACGTTCCCATTGAGCTAAAAAGTAATCTTGTGTATACTGAGGATCTATGTACAACCTTTGAAGAGTCGCCTTGCTCGATTGGTTTAATTTTTCCATTTCTTTGAGACGTCTAATCATGGAATCAACTGAACAAATGAAGATGGAGGTTAACTAATTATGGATGGTTAAAATATAGTCAGTCACAAACCAGCTTTAGTTCGCAATCCCTCATTATGATAGAGTCCTTTGAGATTCAAGCAGCATAGTCGATGCTCTTTTGTCGAATATCTAAGAGCAGCTACAAGATCAGAGAAAGCAGACCATATCCTCTCCAAACCCTCACCATCCGACATTCCCCAGTCTTCATTCAATCGAGGGTTGTACAAGATCTGACAGGATCTTTCATGAGCATAAGAATGCCATGCCCCAGTACCTATCTTTAATTCACCTGCCCTTCTCTTCTCTTCAAACAGCTTTCTCTGTGGATCGATAAAATCAGATATCTACAATCAATAACCCTTACACCAATAGAACCACGTATGAAATTGTATTGGACACATACCTTCCTTAATGCCTTTGTCAAATTACATCCTATATCGTAAAGAATAGCCAATTTTTGCTGGTCACCTTCGGCTTCTTCAAGTTGTTCAAACATCCAATTGATTGTGGCAACAGGGAAATGACCACTAACATTATGACCAAAACACAGTTCAATATATAGATTCATCTAATATAGTCAGGTATATTCTCACCGTTCACCACTTTGTACAATATTAATGAATTTCAAAACATGGTCATGTCGGCATGCCATTCCAAAAAGGCCAGTTTCATCGCACCCACTCCATGTTTTTGCGCCTCTCACATCATCTGCTGCAGTGTGACGCTCACTACATGGGTGCTGAAACCAATCAAATTGCAGAGTCAAGAATAGAGCATTAAATATGAATATAATATACAACTGACCACTAACTCCTCAGTCTTATCCTTCACATCATTTCGACGGACTCCAATTTTTTCTTCCCATTCCTTTACATATTTGGAAGTGAGGAAGAGTGATGGAGTAATCGTGCTTTCAGGCCTCCAACCCGCACTTGCTGCCATGTGACGCCGATGTTGAAAGTTTCCATCCAGTGAAACTATGACATCGGGCTCAGCTGGGCGTTTACCTTGGACTGCAGGGCCAAAACAGCGAGGAAAATTTGATGCAAGTTTTTCGATTGCAGAAAGCTTGAGAGCCAGAGTCTCCAGTTCAGCTTCTCGCCGGATCATCTCACGATAGACATCAACTGCACAGGAGAAAAGCTTCCGCCACTCGCGAGGCTGCATGACATAACATTCAGTAAGTAAAATATAAATATATTTTTATAATCGAATTCCAGGAATCATCTCTTACTTGGTTTCCACTCGGAACAAGGATCAAGGTATTAAACGCATCCAAAAACTCGTCGACTGCCTGGCCGAATGGCGCAATTGTATTACTACACCATTTCCATAATAACTGATAGAACCGAATAAGTCTAATTGAGAAAGCAGTGCAAGGATATTTTGCTGTTCCCCCAATCAAGCCCATCTTCACCAGCCGCACAGCATCCGACTGACATGCACAGAAATTCACCAGGATCTGCTTTCGATCTGTTTGTTCAGAAAACCTTATCAACCTAGATAAAGACAAAATGCAAGAATAAGAGGAAAGAAACAACCTACACAAGATATCAAAGACCACAATTTTCTTCGGAGTTCGAACCATAGTACCTGTGCAATGGCAGGGTTCCTTCCAGTCATAGTCCCATAGATCCGTGTGACCCCATTGAAACGTCTTCTTAGATGACAAGCTGAATTCAATGAAGAGAGAAGGCATAACCTCTTGCCACTGCTTCTGCTCCCGAAGGGTCCGTTCCTCGTAAGACTCTGCTTCATTAAACATTCTTCCATCATATTCACTGTCGTCATCTTCTGAAAAAGGATTGACTCCAAAGTTGGACTGATCAAGGTCTCTGTACAGATCTTGAGGAGCACCATCGTCAATGTCATGATTGAGTTCATGATTGGTAGGTTCGACATCAAGCATTAAGCCTTCAATGATTGATGTAGCTGCTCGATCCTCTTGGGCTTCAAGCATAGCTCGTCTTTGAGCAATGTCCGATTTGGCTTTTCGTTTTCCTGGCTTCCGTTTGGGACGTATTTTGATATTTTGACCTGGCAATACCATGTCGAAAAACGTACGTAGTTGAAAGGAGGTGATATGCTTGAAGGGGAACTCTCTGGGGTCAAGATGATGGGACGCAAATGTGCAATCACCCCCTAAACAGTTAGTTTTGGGGTCCAGAAAGGCATAGGTTAATTAACTTTCTCTTTGATTAGTCCCAACAGATGACATTGGTGACACCTATCTAGTGGCAAATGCAAAACTCTACACTAGATAGACGAGAGGAAAATGCTGAAAAAGGAAGCCCGCTTTGGTTTCCCAACCCCATTTGGTAAGTCAATTAGAGACTCAAGCACCCAAACCCTTTTGGTCATCATACATCCCTGTCAACACTTCCATGTATCAAAACGTGGAGTGTGTGGTATTCAGTCTTGTTCAAGTTGTCACCACTATAGATTCTCTTGAACTCCGTATTGGAAAAGAAAAAGTAGCTTTGTGAAGTACAAGTTACATGTGTGATTTGTGTGAAGTATCCGTGTAAGTTAGGTGAAGTCCAGGTTTCCTGGTGACCCCCAACTGATTCCTCGCCCTCTTATAACATTGGTGATCCTACTCCTCAATATCATTTGCCACATCATGACTCGCTCAGCAAAAAAAGGCTCCTCGTCACCCTCACAGAAACATAAAATCAAGATGACTCGCTCAAAAAGGTTGAGTGCAAATACATCCAATTCAATACAACTAACTGATAATCCTAGAGAAAAACAAAAGAAGAGCGAGAATTTAGATCATGCCAACAAAGACGATTCAAAGCATGATACCCTGCCCACAACAACTTCTGGCCAAAAAAAAACCGGCAATCGAAGCTTTGTGACCTGTTTCCCTGGTCTCACACCGGAAAACTTTGAACAACAAGTCGACAAATGGACAGTTGCGGATCTTCGACAGCGACTTGTGGAACAACAACAGAAACAAGCTCATAATCGGACTCGGGCACCCCAAGATATAACTGACCTTACCGAGATTGTTTGCATTGGTTTTGAAAAGAGGATGCTTATGGTAGCCTTAATGGGAGGACTTCCAGAAACGGTGATATGGGATCTAGTGTAAGCATGACTTACCCAGTGCATCTTGTTTTGATGGTTTGTTAATGCGATGGAACTTTTTGAATTTAAGAAATATGGGTTCCAAATCATCAAAGCCAAATAGGTGGATACGCTTTCTAGCATTTTCTAAGCTAGCTCTGGCAGAGAAACGTACGTGACCACCCTATGATGGTATCTTACATCAAAGGGTTCATTATAAGAATCTGTGATTTGTTTTCAGTACCTCCTCGTAATGACAAATCAGGCTGGAAGGCACGGAATCAAAAACTAGGCCGAATGTGGAAGGAATTGACCAGCGATGAAAGACAAGTCTTCAGTGATCCCTTTTTCTTTGCTTTAGCCAATCTACCCGATCTTTCAAAAGTTGTGATAGACGATGAAGATGAAGAAAAGGAGGAAGATCAATCGGCTCAGGTGCCGACTCCTGCAGTACACCAACTCTCCGATGAGGACAAACTCAAATACCAACCTCTATTTGATCGAATGGTCAACATCGAGAAGGTGCATATTACCCACGGATCACCAAAATCGACCAGCTCAATGGCCACCTTACAACTTAAGTCACTAGCAGCTTTCCGCAAGGCTCATCATGCCGTAAGTCCACAGGTCTTGGAATGTAAGGTGGCACTCCAAATTAATGTTCAACCATCCAGTTCGCAGTTGAATGCCAGAGGTACCACATCAACTACTACTTGACTGCGGCTAGCTGCGACAGTCAAGAAGGATGGTCTGAGGTCGCTTCAACCAACTCAAAGTTCGCCGAATGGGCTCATGATATCAGCAAATTCCCTGAAAAGTTTAAAGTATATGTGCATGGTTTAGTGGTGGCAGAAGAAATTGAAAAAAGAGTTCCACATCCGACTGATGCAAGAAAAGCGATCCTCACTAAAAAACTTAACAAGATGATCAGTAAGTGAACCGACTTTTACAGTAGTCCGAGTTGCATTTCAAGGCACCTAACCACAGGATTTTCCTCGCAGGTGATATCCTGCCTGGACAGGTCTTTCCCAAAGGGCCTACCCCTGCCGTGCAGTTTGTTGAGAAGGGATGGCCTATTCAAATTTGGCAGGATGATGCTAATTCACTCATCAAGCCTTATCAAATCGCCAAGGGGTTCCGTGGTTGTACCGATTTGTTGAAGAGGAATTGGCTAAGCGATATCGACAACGGTTATTTCAAACTTGAGAAGATTGATCCTGCGGAATCACTCATACCTACTAGCAATATCATCAATCATTCAATTACAAAAACACCCTTGAAAAATAAACCCTCAAGTCCCTCCGATCCAATTCTTTCAGCTGATGATGCTACTGACCACCCTACCAAAAAAAGGAAACGAAAGATGAAAGAAGCAAAAGAAAAAATTGTGAAGAAAAGGATGATGAAGACATTGAGTCATCAGAAATCGAGGACATCAATTTCCCAAGTAGCGATGAATTTTCAGAGGATAGTGATGATTTCAAAGGGGATTCGGGTTCTTCTTCCAGCTCTGAAAATGATGATGTCTAAGATTTGATGTATAATGTCATAACTCTTTGTTTCCGAGGCAAAACAACCCCGCTCTTGATTATCTAGTGTGTTACGGTTGATTTTGTTGGCCTTCTACTACTTAGTCACTTTTGTCAGAACGTGATATGTCCCTTCATGGATCAGATCATGGTTCAGTGTGCAATGGACAAAGTCTTGCTGAATTTGTCACAGTTTTCACTAATCTGAACTATTCACATGGGGGTTACAAACCCCCACGTGATTGGTTATACCAATCAGGTGGGGGTTACAACCCCTTACTTATGATGGCTTTATGAGATATGAGTAACCAACAATTTACTGATATAGGTTGCATTGAAGAAATAAACATTGAGCACTTAGGGGACCCTGAGTCCTCATGGACAGGTTGAGGCTAGGTACATGTCAGGTCTGCGGAATGCCATAACCCCCAGAAGGAGAGGGAATTCTGGCATTCTGAATAGAGAGACTCCCCCTGAAATTTAATTTTACACAACAGGGAGAGAGATTGGGCCCAATTGACATTATCTTCATGGTGTTAGACAATTATTGTGATTGAAGCTAGGTACATGTCAGGCCTGCGGAATGCCATAACCCCCAGAAGGAGTGGGAAATCTGGCATTCTGAATAGAGAGACTCCCCCTGAAATTTAATTTTACACAACAGGGGGAGAGATTGGGCCCAATTGACATCATCTTCAGTGTGTTAGACCATTATTGTGATTGAAGCTAGGTACATGTCAGGCCTGCGGAATGCCATAACCCCCACAAGGAGAGGTAATTATGGCATTCTGAATAGAGAGACTCCCCCTGAAATTGCATTTTACACAAAAGGGGGAGAGATTGGGACCAATTTGCATCATCTTCAGGGTGATTGAAGATGTTTATGGGTGCAAAATTGCAAAATGTGATATTTTAAGCATTAATTTGCCCATTAGAGCATGAGTGAGGGTGGTGAGTAAGAATCTGATCAGAGAGACTGACCTTGAAATTTAATTTTGAGTATTTTGAAAGATACGAAAAGGGATTAGCCCAGGCCAATACAGTATTTGAAACTCAACTACATGTATGTAACTAGACTAACCCGTGCCATCTGTATAACAGCCATTATCACGGCCCGCCATGTTATGAGATCATTGTAAACCTGCCTAGCCATTATAATGGCGATGTCACTATCTTTTACTCTTTCGTATAAATTGTAGGGGTTTCTTCGTGGATAAAGAAACCCCAGACCTTATCAATTTTATCTTTACATTTTTGTCACTTTCACTCTTATAAAAACCTTTTATCGCTATTATCACTATCGCAATAAAACCCTTTTATAAAAGAACCTTTTTTACCATTTCTTGATCCCAAACCTCGCCAGAGATCACTTTCAAAGCATCAAAGCCCGTCTCCCCTTTACCCGATACTTCCAGATCAATTAAAGCCTCGACGCCATCCTTTCCCTTTGAAACTCGACGACCTTCGGATCTTTTCTCTGTTTCGAATCTTTTCCTAACCTTAATTACTAAGGTTAATTTCTTTACGTGGGTTATTGACAAACCCCGTTACACTGGTAGCGAGAGCTAAAAAAGATTTTTAGAAACGAGAACTTACAAATTTTTTTTTCTTTTTTATTGTTGTTTATTCGGATTTTTTTTCGAAAGTGTATAGATTTAGCTTTTCTACGCACGAATTCTTCACGCTTGACGCTATAAGAATTTCGGATTACGTCCAAAATCTTTGAAAGATTTTATTTGAATAAAAACAACGTAAGGATTAAAAGAATTTCTGTTATACTTGGTAGACAACACCGATAAATTTTTTGAAATAAGGAACTCACTTTGAGCTGTGTTGAAATTTATAGGAACTTCACCAGCTACTATGCCTTCCAAAAACATCGATAACGTCACTCCCATTGAAGTGACCCCTGATCAATGGTACAAATTGTGCGAACGCCTTCCTACTTTGGGAGAGGGAGAAACGTATGCACCGGAAGTGCTTGCCGGTTTTAGCGACGAGCAAGTCATGATAAATGAAACAATCGACTCCCTCGCTGCCGGCACCTGTTTGAGCCTTGACAGATACAGTCAAGCTATCCTAGGAGTCAATGCCCTCAACTTTCCGCCTGCGCTGCAACGCCCTCGATCCCGCGCGAATACGCCGGCGGCCAGTTCTCCCGTCGGGGCTACGACTACTACAACATCGGCATCAAGAAGAAGCATTGGCAGCGCGCCGACTGGCGCCAACATTCCTTTGCCTCCGTCTAACCCTGGTTCGAGTCAATCTAAATCGAAACCGGGCTCCACTCCTGCTGGATTGTCGAATACCACTCCAACCAGCTATTCAGCTGCCCTCGGAACCAATCCCAGCGGCCCCCGACTGCTGGTCCGACTGCTGGAAACTATCACCCCTGGAACTCGCTCCTCGACCATTGAAGGATCTGGACGACGTTCTGCTACTGGGACCTCTTCTGGTCGTACTATCATCAATCCGCAGGACGCTTCACGCCCTGCCAACACGACCAGAAAGACCGAGAGCCCTGGCTTTCAACCTTCTTCTGCCTTGGGTTTAACCTTGAACAACGGCCATCGTAAGGATTCCAGCCAAATACCTCCTCATTTGGATACCCCCCGTACTAGAGCTTTCAATTCCGCTGTCGATTCGATCATGGCGGACAAAGGAAAGCGCTCTGATCGGATGGAAATCGAACCATCTCCTCTTCCTCGAGACGGTCCGCCCATCAATAATTCAGAATCTCGTCCCGATGACATCACTGTTTCCTTGCGACCTGACCAATTGCCTGACTGGTTGGCCTACCAGGAACTGGTCGCGAAGAGGATCAAGGCTGAATGGGAGGCTGAAGTCCTCAGAGGTGAAGATATTGAAATGTCGCCTCCTGACCGTCGTGCTCGGGCTTCTGCGACGCCTGGCACCAGCCGCCGCCCAGACCCTACTCCCGGACACTACAGTCCCCCTGGTTCTCCTCCTTCGAGCCCTCCTTCGTCACGGTCCCGCGAGCCGGTTCAAGAACCTCCACCTGCGGCCAATCGTTCGATTTTTGAGAACGACGCCTACCGCGCTTTTAAGGCAATGAATGCCAAAAAGGCCCCTCGATTCAGCGGTACTAACCATAAGGATGCCACTACATGGTGTGCCAGCACGGCCAAGTCCTTGTCTATCTTGGGCATCCACCGTTCCATCTGGCATCGTGTGGGCATGCAACTCGTGGATCACGCAGCGCTCACAGAAATTGAGCGTGTAATCGCCACATCCCTCGCTCCGCAAACTTGGGATGAATTCGTGATGTTACTCAAGAAGAAATTTCCTTCTACCCTCACAGCCGACAATCTATTCCAACGTTTCAGCAATTTCGCCTTTCGCCCGAATGAAAGAGCAGTTGAAGCATATGGTCGGTTCCGAGTCATTCAGAACGATGCCGACATTATTGAATTGAAGTATGAAGTTGAAGCTATGTGGATCAAGAAGCTGCCACCTAAGCTTCGTGAATTGGTTCAGACACAAGTGGATCAGGCCTTGGAAATGGGGGTTAAAATGAACATGGAGCAAGTCGTGAAATGTACCTACAATCGGGATGCCAGGATTCAGGAAAATCGTGATTCTTTGTATTCGACATCTGAACCTTCTAGAAAGCACTCCCGTAACAACAGCACCAAGAAGCCCAATCGCCCATCTTCCAGCAAACGCAAGATAAACAATTCTTCTGATTCCACCAATCCTCCCGTCAAGACATGTTATAATTGTCGAAAAACGGGTCATGTTTTTGGGACCATGCAGAACCAACTCTGTCCTGAGAAGGCGACGGAGCGCACTATCAACTACTTCAAAACTCATAAGAAGCCTGAACAATCCGGCTCTTCTGTACCATCAAAAGATTAGGCGAGGAAGTACTTGCTCCCCTTTCTTCGCCTTGTCTTCATTTATCATCCCCTGTTGTATATGATGCCCGCAATGAAACTTTGATACATGTTTCGGATGATAAAACCATTGAGCTAACCGTGCCCCTTGAGCACACAAATCCACTCCATGATAGAGTTGTTCATTTGCATTTGAATATAGTAAGTGACTTGCAGTCTTCGAATTTGAAACATTTGAGTCCCTCCTATCTAGGAGTCGTAGACAAGACGACTGACAAACAAGCTCCCTTTTCCACGCCGAGGGACGATTGTGTCGACCTCTCTGAGATGT